CACAGCCTGGCAGGCAACCAAGTCATGGTTGTTATTATGAAGGACTTACAGTGGCATCTAGGGTACTTGACAACTCCATCCAAGCACTGGACTTTAAATTCCTCATCTCTTGAAGTTTTTGCATGCCACCATCTACATTCAAAATAAATATATTCCCCGGCAAGAAAGGTGGAATGCTGTGACTGGCTTGATGCTAGCTGAATATTGTTCTGCTCCATATCACTCTCACGCACCATGCATGTCTCTGGAAAATAAAAAGACCATTTGTTATTGGACAATTGACCTCATGCTGGACAATTGCTCCTGGGATGCTACAGCTGCCCATTGACTGCCCCAAGACTTCCATCCTTAGCAGTCTTCCCCCCGGGTTGCGGCAGCAAATACCAGGAGGGGACTCCAAGGAGAACAGCAGGACAGTCATGAGGAAAAGCCTCCTGCTTCCCTCAGGCTATCCCGGCCATCCCAACTCGCCTGGGCACCACATTAATCTTTGCCACTGGCACGGGCTCTCTTCCACGACTGCCCCCACCTCCATTAATCCATGCTGCAATCGATGAAGGGCAACTGCTCAGCTCTCGCCCTCTTCACTGTGCAGTGCCTGGGCTTTGGGGGAACTCGAGGGCAAGGCTGGCATAAGCATCTGTACTGAGAAGCCCCTGAAGTGCTGGGAGGGCCGGATGGGGCAGAAGGAGACATAGCCACAGCTGCCAAGGAGGAGAGAAGCCCACTGGGAGAAAGTGCTGTGTAAGCAGGCAGGAATGGAGGAAGCAACAAGGAAGTGGTCCCCCTCCTCCATAGACTCCCCCTTGGGAAATGAAAGACTCTTTTTGTAAAGAATATGGAGCGCATCCAAGAAATGCTCTGCCCATCTGTCTTCTGGGTGTCTTCTAGGGCACTCCTCCCCACTATGGCCCACAACTTTACAGGGAGCTCCCTCACCCTGGGCCTCTCCCATTCTTTCCCTGGTGTCACTTCCTAAGGACTTTCTTCTCAGCAGCCCAGAGCAAAATGCAGGAGAACAACAGAGAAGCAGTGGCCGACTTGCAGGTGACTTACTTCCCGGCTTGCAATGGGGATAGTCTAGCGTCCCTTGTACACACTGTACTCTGAATGGAGAAGATGCTGGGTCCTGCTCATATCCAATTTTACATTCAAACTCGATAAAATCACCAGATTCTGCATACAGCTTGCTCCTTGCGATCCATCTCAGCTCAATGTTGTTTCTGTTCATGTCCTCTTCAGCTGCAGTACAAGCCACTTGAAAAGGGGAGGAGTAGGTTGTGAGTTCATGTAGAAGCACCACTGGGAATTTGCTGCCCTAGGGCCTAGAGGAGCCCACCTCATCCCAGCACATTCCTCATGGGGCAAGCTACTTTGAGCTATTTGCTCTGCCCCTCACTTGCTTCAGGCAAGGAAGCGAGGCACTCCAGAGCCCCAGGGAAACACGACCATGCCTAAGACACCGGCAGAGCTATGGAGAGGTCTTTCTGCCCTGACACGCACACAGGCCAGGATCCAACCACAGCTGGCGGGCGGGGGAAGTTGCCAGGCAGCAATGAACCTGTCCCCGCTGGCTTCCCGGGCCCGCCAGGCACACACACTCATCCTCCCCTCTCGAAGCCGCTGAGCGCAGCTTTGCCTCTGGCTCCGGTGCACTCAGGAGCCCTGTACCCTGATGGAGACCCCTCACACAGGGTCACACTCGAGCCTCAGAGTCGGAGCAAAGGACAAGAAGAGAAATCGCCCCCATTTCTGCCACACCGCAGACACTTCAACCCACCTAAGCAAACTGGGGGATTTGTCCACTGCCCCCCAACACATCTAATAGTGGGAGATCCTTTCAGGACGTAGAGATTGGGGCACTTGTACTCCACAGTTGAACCTGATGCGTACTCTTGCAGCGGGAACGAAAGAAGCTCTCCATTCTCAATTACTGGAGGTGGGCCACATTTTTCACCTTTCCCTGAAAGCAAATTTCCAAGAAGAAAGCAAGCCATCAGGATTTAACTGAAGGGGAGCCCTGGTCACAGGTACTGCCAGGGAATATGCTGGCAGTGCTCTGAGGGATGGGGTGAAAGGAGAGAAGAAACCTTCGCCTTGATACTGAATACCTCATAGGTGAAAAAGAACAAAACTGAGTGTCTCCTTTCTCTATTGCTGCTTCTTCTGCCAGGGCCCCTCTATCGTGAAAAGCCCTCGCGGGTTGATGGGGATGAGACTGGGGCACCCTCAGGCTACCAGGGCTCTCCCATTTCCAGCTCCACACAGTAGCCTGGCTGCAATGCAGTTTTCAACACTCTGCACTCACTGAGCTGTCACCCGTTGCACACCGTGCACACAGGAGGCCACTTGGCTGCATTTGTGGGCAACCTGCTTGCAGTGCTGTATGCAAGCTCTGAGCTCAACTAGAACCACGGTGACTGTCACACCCTGTAACGTTTAACCTTTGGGCTCTGCACATGCTTACAGCCATGGGCAATCCCAGATCCACTTTCATAGGCTTGGAATAAAAAGAGGGACAGAGAGAGAGAGAGAGAAAGAAAGAGAGAGAGAGAGAGAGAGAGAGAGAGGAGACAGAGAAAAAGAGACAGAGAGAGACAGAGAGAGGATCTACCTGTGCATTTTGGCCTCTTCGTCCAGGTGCCATTCTCACAGGCTACAGTGGAATCCCCAGTCATCTGAAAACCCTGCCAGCACTGATACTGAGCTCTCTCCCCAGGCATATACTTGGACTTTTTAACACCTTGAACTTTACCACCAGCAATTTCTGGAGGGGGTTCACATGTCATATCTGAAAAGACAGACAACTGTTTTTGCAGTCACCAAGGTCTTCTTATAAAGAAACTGCAGTGGGAAGAATCTATCTGGTCACCCTTCAAGCCCTGCTATTCCTTTTGAGAGCTTCTGTTGTCTTCTGATTTTTTTTTTCTTCTCTTGCACCCCCACTTCCCTCCCCAACCAGTACAGTTATTGGTGAAGTGCTATGAATTTTATGACGGGAATATGAATTTAGCCAGAAACAAGTCTTAAGAAGCTTGATGCATCTTCTAATTCCTCTGGTGCTTAAATTTTCCTTCAGACATTTTCTGTTTCAAGAACAAGAATTCTGCATATTTTGTCTTCACTCGTGAAAGTTACTTACTAACACATTCTGGAGAAGGCACCCAGCCAGTCTTGGTGCATTGAGCTGTGTTTTGCGCAGAGACTGCTTTAAAATAATATCCAGAATTACAGTACACGGTGATTGCAGCTCCTTCTATGTATAAGTCTTTTCTAGGCCTGAAGTTCCCATTCAGAATTCTCGGAGAAGAGCATACCATTTCTAAATAAAAAAAGAAAAACAAGATGCTTGCGTGAAGAATATCTATGTAACTATTTCTGTTGTATTAGTTCTTCTCTTCACAGTGGATGGATAGCAACTGCATAATAATACCAAAAAGAGACTTCTTAGGCCAAAGAAAAAGTTACAACTCTTTTCCATCCAGGTTAAAATTGGCATTAAGTATTTCTGAACTCCTCTCAAACTGGGCTGAGAAAGTTAGAATGGGGATTTTCTTCCTTCGGAGCATTTCCTTTCTAGCACAGCCTCACAGAATGGTTAAGGTTGGAAGGCACCTCCAGAGGTCATCTAGTCCAGCCCCCCTGCTCAAGAAGGGACACTTAGAGTGTGGGGTACAGGGTGCCATCCAGATGGCTTTGGAAGATCTCCGGACAAGGAGCCTCCACACCCTCTCTGGGCAGCCTGTTCCAGGGCTCTGTCACCCTCACAGTAAAGAAGCTCTTCCTCGCATGGAGATGGAACTTTTAATTTATTTCCATTACCCCTTGTCCTGTTACTGGCCACCATCGAGAAGAGTTTGGCCTCAAGAGTTTGGAACCTAGTATGGAAAGCTTGGGCTGATTTTTTTCTTAGACCAGTGTCTTGCTCTCTTTTCAAAAAGAGCCTGATTTATATCTAACGTCAAAAAAAATGCATCAGCCTATGTAGACATAATCATCTGGGTTCCCTTGAAGCTCTGTGATCTAGTTTTCACTTCTTCCACTGAAGTCAAACAGGGAAGAAAGAGAAGGGAAAAAAAAAGTTTTATTTCAGGCATAAACCAGATACATTAAGTCTAAAAGAGGAACAGAAATTTCAGCTAAGCTTAAGTGTTGTCTTGGTAATCCCCAAAAATGATGTGAAACTAGGAATTTGATTTCACATAAGCACACTGAATTAGTGAGTTTGCACAGGGTATGACCTTCCTTACACACATATGGCAAAGGCAGGAGGAGGCACGAACCTGAAATCTTTCTTTGAAAAGATGTTTGTAGCTATCCACGGTTTTCCATTAGAAAGAACAAACCTACATGGAGATAGTTACCTGTTCTGGCCAAGACACTTCTTTATTGTTGTTGATCATAAGAATGCTTTTCATTTTGTAACTAACAGAAATTGTTAAGTAGCTTTCCAGTAATAAAGCCTTTGTAAGACATATTTTATTAAGAAGGTATGTTGGAAACAGCCTTATGAAGCCAGGGGGCCTGCATTCAACTCATTAACTTCAGATATCTGCATCTCACCTAAGTGTGAAAGATTCCTTTCATAATCACTGGAAAGAAATTATTATTGCAAAAGATACTTTTCTCTTCAAATACAGCTATCTAAAACTGATAGATGAAATGAAGTTCAGAAATGTCAAATTTCCTTCATTGATATAACAAGTGAAATAGTAGAGAGATATCCTCCCACATTACGCACCTCTAATTTTGGTGACTTATTAAAAAAATTTACATTTATTGCTGACTAGGCATGGGGAGGAAATTACTTATCAATTGATAAAACAGTTTCTGATAATACAGGCAGATGCAGTTTATGCACATAACCGACTTCTGCATAAAGAAGAAACCATCTGAGAAGTTAAAATTATTCCAATATAGTATGTATTTACCAGAAACACACGAAGGAAAATCCATGTGCCCATCACCACACTTCACGGTTGAACTGTTGGTGAGCTGGTATCCCGTCATGCACATAAATTCCATCTTCTGCCCACTTGGAATCAAAAGCGAGCGTATTCGGCCATTGGAGAGAAGTAGTTTTTTGGCTTCCAGCTGCTGTTTTCTAATGATACATGGAGCTACAAGAGATGGAAAATGATGTGGCATGAACCTTTGATGGCTTATTAATTATGACCAATTAATTGATGGGAGTAAGCAGTGGGAGGAAATATGTATATCCACTACCCAAGATTAAAAATGAACTATATAGGCATTTTAAGGAGGAAAAGGCAACAAGACAGCAAAGCAGCTGAGCACACAGTGCTACTCCCCTATATGAGGGGCAGTTGGCAGCCTAAGCAGAAAAGCAGGTCTTGGGACACTACTCACTGCATTACAGACATAGCAACTAATCACAAAATATCAAGCTAATTTGGAAAGTTGTACTTTAAGAATTATTAGAATTGCCTACTCTTAAGAAGTCAGCCAGCAATAAAAGCGGTCCTTACCCAAACACTGTGGCGGTGCAGGTGTCCAGACTTTTTCACGGCATGTCACCCGTTCTGAACCTGATAACGTGTACCCAGGGTCACACATGTACTGCACGCTGTCATTTTCCTCGTATTCTGGTTTATATCCACCAACAACTTCACCAAAGTCAATGGCAGGTGGGTCTTCACACGCTGCTCTGGCAGAAGCTGTGCACAGATCCCCGGCATTTAACTGTACTCAGGTACTTACCTTGTATCCTGGTTTATCCCCACTACCAGTTTCTTCAAAATCAACAACACGTGGTTGCTTGAATGCTGCTCCTGCACAAATTCTTGCTATTTGATAGGCACAGAACAGAATGCTGAGAACTGCAGACAATGGCACATACAAGATTTTTTTATAATATACAGATGACTCATATCCCTACATATATATGGCAAAGAAAGAAACTCACAAGGAAAAAAGAAAGCAAATATTCTCAAATACATTGAACTTAGTTATGTTTCCTTTTATGAACTTCTGTAAGGAATTCTATTACAAGTGATAGAGCTTGGCTAAATTTTTTGCAATCCATTTCTCTCAAAGTTCTCTTGCCACATCAGTTAAGAGTATGGATTTCCATTTAGCAAATTACCTTTAGGTGTAGTACAGCACATCCACAGCAGAAACAACATCATGAGGCTCAGCGGCGTCATTTCTGAGCTTGAGACATAAAACAGGTCCTCTAAAATAAAATCTGTGTTCTCTGTACTCCAAATTGCATTTACTTGCATTTACGGCAAAAGCCCTTCAGCCTCCCCCTGCCCAAAAAACCCCAAAGCCCTTCCAAAGGTTGTGTTCTCAAAGTTCAGCAATTTCTGCCCCAAATTTTCCTGCCAAGCAGTAGTCTCTATGTCAAGATGAATTACGCAATTGTTATGAAAATGCTTCACTTTTTTCTCCCTGAACATTTTGCAGATTGAACTTGCTACAGGAGCACTAATAAGCCTCTAAACAGAAATCCATGGTGCATTTGCAAACCACGAAAAGGTGCATTTTGCTTTTTCAAGTGCTACACTAAAAATCTTGTTATGGGGAAAATAAAGGTCCTTACTTGTGAATCTGTCTCATGTAGCCCCTTCCCCTGGGACCATGCTCCTCTGGCTGAAGTGCCAGTGTCTCTCGAGCAGGGGAGTGTCCCAGTGAGCCCTCGTGGCCCAAGGGCTCCGTCAGGAGGAGCTGGGCGCTGTGGCAGGCGGTCCTGCCTCCTGGGGCCTGCCAGTTGGCACTTCTCTGCACCTTCTTAACCAAGTCCACTTAATATTTTTCTTTGCTAGATCCCACTTATTCAGTTTCTCTGTTCTCTTTTTTTGCCTCTAAGATTAGTAGTACTTGGACAAGACAAATTGCACTCCTGCTGTGGCCACTGTGTTAACATTGTGATTTCCTTTTATAGTCTGGGACTTCTGCTGTCATCCTTACATCTATCTTTTGTCACTCCACATTTTATTTTGGAGACATAGAATGTTCAATAAATCCTTGGTGCCAGCATAAATTAAAGCTAAACTAAAACAATTTAGGCCACAAAATTTTGGCAGTATTTGTAAGTCAGTCACTGAAAAACATTAGCTTATCTTTTCTAAAATAACATTGTTGATCGGGCAGCGGTTTTGAAGTGGTCAGCTCCAAAACAGTTGCGTAACTTGTGTTACTCATGAACCTTAGACTTCTTTGTTTCTTTGTTTGCAAAGAAAGAAAAACAAAGCCTTCTTCCTCTTCAAAATCATGTTCCTTATTTTTTCCTGGCACAGTACAGAAGTTGTTTAAAAGTTCTGCACTCCACACAAAGGAGAAAGGGGCTATACACAGTGTGCGCACTTGCTTTTGCTCAGCTTTAATGCAGGAGGCTGCTCAGCCAGACCAGCCTTCTGTACCAGCGGCATGGGCTGATGTGTTGCTGAAAGCCATGCTCAGATAAGAGAGTTCAACATCCTCTGCCCCCTCTGACGAGGTTAATCCCATATGAGCTGGGAAACGAAGAAATGACAGACGAACTTTGTCACATAATTCCTGTCAGCTTCACGATTTGGTAGCACAGTTGGGGTGGGCAACCAGAGGTTGATGGAGATCCTGGTGAAAATTTATTGGCCTCTCTGTGAAGTGAAATTAAGAGCAAGTCAAAGAGAGGCACTTGGATTTACCTGGTTAATGAAGCCACTAGCTGCTAATACTGACAATCTTATTTAGATTAAAAATGATACCTTCTTTGGGCAGGGGAAGGAGAGCTCCATACATGAAATTTCAACACTGTGTACAACAGTGCAGCCCACAGCGTGCAGGGGCTAGGCCAGCAGTCAGCACCTCACACACCAGCAGTGACTGGCCTGTTCCCCTGGGTCCATGGGGCCAGAGGAGAAGGAGCCTTGACTTGCTTGTGTGTGTGCCCAGGTGTTTGTCTGCAGTCATAACTAACGGCATCCAGTTCCCACAGGCATTCACAAGTGCCTAAATGGTTGAGCTAGCACTGCGGTTCCTACAGTACTATAGATGTATCAAATTTAGTACTCTTTCAAGTAAAATTGGGTTTGATCTTTACAAGTATATTTTCACTCCATGAGCAGAACAGCAGACACTGAAAACCTACAGGGCAATTTATCAATAGGAGTAAGTAAAGAAGACTTGTGACCACAAGGTGCGTAAGAGAGAGTCAGATACCAGCAGAAACATGAGAGATTCATAAGGGACTATACAGGGTAGGTTTAATAAAGGATTTACAGGGCAGAGTGCATAGGGAGCCCCAGGAACTGTGAGGAGGGGTCACGGGTTAGAGGTGCTGGAGGCACGAGCTGGACGCAGAGGCAGGGCTCCACTTGTGGAGGCACCTCAGCGCTGCTAGAACTGCCTCTTTACCTCAGCTCCACCAGGCTGGAGTAGCCACTGCCCTGGTGGACATGGTGGGTAAGCTGAACATGACCGCCTGCTCCTTGGTTCGTGTAGTTGTGCGTGCTGGGCCTGCTACCACATGCTCTGCCGCCAGTCGTCGCTCCTCGCCAGCTCTTCCACAGGGGTCTTCACTATAAGACTAAATGTGACTGATCAGCTCGACTGGTGGCGTTTACTGACTTGCACATTACCTACCTGGCATAGAGAGAGAAAGAATATTCAAAATGTCTGTCATGCAGCAGAACCTCTCTCATCTACTGGAGTCTATTGAGGACATGCTGACTCTGCCTCAATTAGCATCCTCTACACGTTCATGATGACCCGTTGTGTCTAAAGTGTTTTATGTAGCTTTTGAGTCCAAAACAAAATTCTCAACAGATGCTCACTACCACTGCTGGCTGCAATCAAATACTGGATACAGGGATAATTAAGAAGTAAAAATTCAGCTACTGAGACAAATTTCTACATATTTTAGGTTCAGAACAAACAGTTTCTGGGTATATAGCAAGTTTAGATAGCAGCTATGAAGGTTACATTGCTCAATCCACTGCAATTTACCGGATGAAATTTTATCTCCTATCATGTTGTTTATCTAAGTTCTTACACAATGAACTGAAGACAGTCACAAGTTTACATTATAAATATCATTGTTCTTACCATGATCTATAAATAAATTTCTGTGCTGAGTTCAGATCTACTTGTCACACGTAAGAAATTGATTATACTAAAGCTCTTTGTCTTCATTATTTTATATACCATCTTACAAATCTGTACCTTGATCATATCTTATAAAAATATGTTGGAATACCACTGTAAATAATCTGTACATCATTTTTTGCCCAAATGATCAACCAGGCTTTGATTAAAAAAGGAAACATCTATTTCTTAAATGCTTTAATTTCTTAGCTCTGTCGTTTATTCACGTGACATTGTAAAATCATTTTTGCATGTATGCCCTTTGGATATCACAGAAAATGGGGTTTAGAGATAAAAAGCAGAAGAGAGATTTTAGAGTGTCTTTTATTATTCATACTTAACGGATGAGAGGTAAACATTCTCCATATTCCTGGGATTTTCTTCAGATCATCAGCCAAGCAATGTGTTCACAGGCAAAGCCCCAACAGTACCTGCATTTAAGAGTCACAGGAAGTTATACAAAGCAGTTGTTTAAAGATTAAAGACAATCTTCAATACTTTTTTTTTCCTGTTTCTTGAGCCATTTCATTTGGAAACTTCCCACCTACAAAAGGAGACATGGCTGCTGTTAAGATGGGCAAAAGAAACAGGCCTCTCTCATTGTAAAAGTAGACTTTACGTTCCCTTTGAAGGCCATGGAACCAACCAGCTTTTAATTTAGCTATATGCTCTAACCACAAGAAAATTCATACTATCAAAGCTTCCAGTGTCAATATAGTCACATCACAGAAGATTACATGTTTAGCATCTTCTTGTCACTCTGCTCAAATCCTCCAGCCTGTGATATATCCTCAAATTTAGCACTCTAAGCCTTACAGAACTCCTTTGTCCTTTTTTTTTTTTCCATACACTGTATCCATCTTGTACTGTGCTCCTGCATTCCCAGCCCTCATCCTGCTTTCTCACACTCCTCCACCTTCAGCTTGGATCTAACAGTGCCACTGAACACCCATTTCTCAAAGCTGATTGTAGTGATCGCAAACACACGATACCATCTTAATTCAGCGGTCGATCACAGAAAAAGAGCATGAACATACCTTTGCCATTAATATGGACTTATTTTCCTCTTTCTATACACCTTGGATAGATCAGCCGTCCTCTCTTACACTGCACTTGAAATAAAGTTGTACCAGATTCTGCTCCAAAATGGTTCTGTTTACAGTAAAATCCAACAAAATCCCCATGGTAAAAGTAAATTTGATTTGCATAAAAACTTTCCAGCATCACATTATTTTTCTCCATTTCATTTTTTGACAAAGTGCATGGTTCTAAAGGAAATAGAAATATTTAACATTAATAGATTCACAATTTTTGAAATTGCATCATTTTAACTAGTCTATACGTAATTTAGATTATTGCCTATCCTCTTACTAAGTTATACAGAAAATCACTATATTTTTAACTACTGCAGATGTATGTGTGATACATTTAGAAAGAAAAGTCAAACAAGCTTACACTTGCTTCTATTAAAACTTTAATGTCTGAAAAAAAAAAATTAAGCTGACATCTAGCTGCCAGCAGTGAAATTATAAATGCCATGTATCTGAATTATAGACTGAAATAAATCACATGCTCGTTTATCTTATCATACCCACCTATACAAACTGGTGGTGAACTCCACTGTCCCTTAGAACAGTAGATCCTGTCAGATCCTTGCAAGGTGTGATAGTCAGAGCAGTTATACTGAACGGAAGAACCACTGTCGTACTCAGCCAGGGCTGGGAGAGTAAGAGCACCATTCTCTACAAAAGGTGGAGAGCCACATTTTTCCATAGGAGCTGGAATAACGTTAAAAACATTTGAGAAATATTCAGCATAAGAAAAAAAACCACATAAGTAGTTTTAAATTCCTATCAACACTCAATAATTGACCCAATAGGGTATTTTTTTTTACTATTTCATCATCTCAGATCGGAACAGAGTCTCCCACTAACCATAAGAAATCCACTGTGTGCAGTTAAATGTTTAAAGTTATGTTCTTACAAAGGTGTTCCCAATTAAAGGAAGATGAATTTTCTCTAAGATCAGATATATTTGAAAATATATTTGAAAATAATATATTTGTATGCTGCAAGGGACTGTTGAATTCTGAACTTCATGAAAGCAGATTTTTAGCCTCTACTGCTGGACCTCCTAAGTAGGTCCAAGATTGATGAATTAAAAATTACAGAAAAAAAGTAGTTAGTGCTTTACCTTCCGCAATGCATTTTGGATATTTCACTCCTCCACGGTTACACTGTGTCCTTCCAGGAGATGCTATGGTAGTTTCGGGAAAATTGTATCCTGGTTTACATTCAAACTCTATGAGATCACCATGTAGGAAAATTAATCCTTCCTGTCTCCATTTTAGCTCTATGTTGTTACTGTTCATCTTGGTTGGATTAAGAGTGCATGGTTCTAGGATATAAAAGTCTACGTCAATAAAAAACTAACTACATGTGATTTCTTAACTAAGAAGATTTCTTTCCTTCCTAAGGAAGGAAAGAAAAATCTAAATCAACAGTTCTAAAAGTGCTAAGTATCCTAAAAGGAAAAGAATGTATAAGTGTACAGATGTATAAAAATGAATATAAAGAAATGGGCTGACGTAACAAATAATATGCAATAAATCACAGGAATCATGTACTTCCGACAAAATCTTTTTTTTCCACAGATATATTGTAAATATATTGTAATCTGGGTTTACTGTTGAAGAAGAAACTACTATTTGCTATAACTGGAAAAGCGTTTTTATAACAAAAGGAATCATCCATTAAAATGAACTTGTTTCTCTAACAGCACAAGGTTTAAACTATTGGTTTAAACAATTAACTTAGGTCTAAACTATTAACCTAAGGAAGTGTTTTGACAGTTTCTCAAGAAAATTTAATGTCACAATCACATAAAGTAACCTGTCCTTCCACTAGTTGGTTACCTCATTGGCTTTTGAAACCTCTGTTCAAGTTCAATAGAGCCTCACAGAACAGACATAAAAATAATTAAATTTCTACAAGTTCCTTGAAAATAGTTTCCTAATAGAGAGCCTTATTAATGTTTTGCTGAAGGAGAGGCAAGAAGAAATCAGCCGTTACACATTCTGATGACAGCACCATATCAGCAGATCAGTATTGATACTGTTTCAAACTAATTGCAGTATGTACTGTTTCTTGCCTGGTGAGGTGGGAGCTGGAAAGAACTTAATGGAAAACATGCAGAGGACAATGTGGTTATTCACATGCCTAGGAGACAGATGAAATGTTCATAGGAAACAAGTTTTCACTAGTTCACAGAGTCCAGAATGAGATTACACATAGAAGAACACAAAATAAAAAAAAAGAAGGTTTTATAATGAAATTCAAAATATTATTACAATCATGTCTGAACTAGTCACTATGACAATGGCTCTTCTCTGTATCCGTGGAAGGACAGGAAGAAATTCACTGAACTGATGATGCAGAGAGTTAAGAAACTATAATATCTTCCTAGATAATAGATATTGCCAAGTTCTAGAATATCTCACTTGGGAAAATAGAGGAATCTATTTGACTAGGTGCTTGTAAGAGCAGGTTGGAGGGACATCTAGCAGGGGTGACCTAATTATATTTCATTTGGCTTCACTCTTGCATTTCTGGAATCTTTATTAGCTCAGATGAAAAAAAATAGATAGTCATGAAAAGAGGATCTTAACATCCTTTCCAGTCTCATCTTTCTATCTTATGTGTGAAAAAAAATTCTTTTTTCCTTTAAAGACTTACCTAAGCAAGTTGGTTGTGGGGTCCAGTTTCCTCGTTCACAGTAAACAGTACTAGGTCCATCCAGAACATGGTAGCGCTGGCAACTGTATTCCACTGAGGAGCCGTTTTGGTAACTCATCAGTAATGGGCCAAGAAGGATACCATTTCTAATCACAGGTGGAGAGGCACACTCCTGCTGCATTTCTAAGATGGGATCTGGAGATAGGAAATTAGATCTTTAAAACAATGTTGACACAACTGATAGCATCAGAACCACAAGACTTGAAGCAAAAAGTGTACACTAATATGATTTCTTGTTCAAATATCAAAACCAGAGACCGTACATTTGCCTTACTGAAGTGCAGACAGACATTGTATCTCTATACTCATCTATGCCCACTCTTGTTTCTTCCTGTTTTACACTAAATATGGACTATTTGTTTTTCTGTGAGGAAACTGTCTATTTGTTCCTTGAAGTGCTTAGCCCATTATAGGGTCCACAATAAACAAAATAACCCGTAACAGAACTACTGAACTCAACAAAATACTCCTAAATTTGCACGTTTAGGCAATAGTAACAGAAGAGGAACAAAATGATAGAAAGCAAATGCTAATGAATTAAGTAATCAAAATTACTAATACAGTACCAGCTTATCGAAGCAACTTACAAGCACTAGAAACAAGTGACCCTAGGCTTTAATCCAGTCAATCTGACTGCTACATTAATATTGATGCATATGAAAATACTTTCAAGAGTAAGGAACTATTCTAGGTAGAGCAGTAAGAGTAGTCATAAAGTCTATGTAATATCAATGGAGAGAATTGAATTTCTTGTTAAACAGAAAAGCAATGTTTGCTTACTTATATCTTCACTGTGATATGTTTTGTTTGTTCTTGCTGTATCTGCCTCAAGCGATGGTGGTGGCTCAGATTCCCATCTATCCATAGCTCCTAAAATCACAGCAACAATTTAGAAACAGCTTTCTCATTTGTTTCCAAATACCATAACAGACAGAAGCTTTGCAGCTTTGCAAGATTTAATAAAATCAGTATTCCAGGGGAAAAACACAAAACCTAGCTTTCATATGACTTCATCTAGGTTGTACTGTCCCTTGATCCATGAAAAATGGATTGTTTGCAAGTTACACAGTACTTTTCCTCTCAGAATTTAATGGAAGAGGAAATAGTTTTATAGATATGGAAACCGAGGCTCTCGAAATACATTATTTGAAGGAGTGTTTCTGTTCAGGCCTCAGTCTTTACAAAACTACTAACCAATACAAACAGGGGGCGATGTCCATTTTCCCCTTTCGCACTGGATTTGCTCTGGGCCTCGCATTTCCAAGTTACTCTGACACTGTATTCGAACTTTGTCTCCATTACGGTATGTTCTTAAGGCTGTGCTGATGTGGGTGTGAGGAGGAAGAGGTGGAAGAGGGCATTTACTTCTCAGGTCTGAAAATAATAAATGCATATTTTGTTTGTTCAAATATTAGAATTTTAGTCAAGCTATCAAAATAGTGAGCAGGTTTCTCTAAGCAAAACCACATACACAATTCGCTTTACTTTACAGTATGCAAGCCTACCATTCAGAAGACATTTTTGGCTGATCCGAAGTAACCATTTTCCTTCATTTTCTAAACAAAATGAAGACCCCCCCCAAAAAATGTTTTTACACTCAAACAGGAAAGAAAGGAAACACATTGTTGTACTATTGTAAAGAAACTTGTAATTTCTGCATGAAGAGTTAGTAAGGTCTCCAGGAGATTTTTATGCTGAATATTTAGCTGTTAGTGCTTAAGAAGTTGACACTTATTCATCACTTCCAATTCTACATAAGCAGCTGTAATCATACCCAGTTCCAGGTGCCAAAATGAAGTTTGTGATGATCTACCCCCAACACCAGATTTAGGTCACGTTCTCATTCTTAGCTAACCTAAAAGTTCATTTCTAGCCATTTCTGCTATGTGCTATAAATCGGAAGGGAATCTTCCAAGACTACAGAGCCTCCAATATCTAGAAACTCTTCCTTTTGGAAGTGTTAATAATTGCTAAATGCACGTTGCTGACTTCTTGAGGACCATTCTAGCTACTTCTATTGAAAACACGTACAAATATAGTGAGGTTGTAAAACACAAACTCTGTGTGTCCATAAAACATTTCATCAAAGATGGTGCTGACCTTTCACTGAAACTTTTACATATTACAACAGCATTGATAAGGTACCTTCACATATTGGTGGTTCTGGATACCATCCAAAATGATAACATTGAATTAGGTCAGATTCACTAAGAGAATAATTTTTCTCACAGAAAAAGTGAACTACATCTCCCTCGTCATAGATTTTCTTCACAGGATAGAAACCTCCGTGTTCTATTGCACTCAAAGAGCAGTAACTCGTTTCTATGAAAAAAAAAAAAACACACAGATTAAAAAAACAAAGAATTTGAGGAAAGGGTTTGCTTTTGTTTTTCCCAGCAGTTTGTAAAAACAAATTTGTAATTTTCTTTTCAGCTAGAGACTAAGCCAGGTTCACAGCTCTTTTCAAGCCCGTGACGTACTCGTGCAGTTTGGCGTGAGGGACCAGCCCAGCGCTAGACACACCGCTTCCTCGGCCGCCTGTCCCCCGGCGGTTCGATAGCCCTCGGCGCATTTGTACCGCAGCGTCTCGTTCACCTGCAGCACTCGCTGCGTTGTGAGGTAGGAGCCGTGATGTAAAGCGGGTACTTGACAGGACTCTTAAATAAATAAAACATAGGCATTAATAAGTAGATGAAGCGAACAGAAAAGGCATTCTTGTAAGATTTTCTTCAGATATGAAAAGGGCTAATAATAATTAAAAATGCAATAGCTTGCATAAGTTTTTGAGTTTCCATTCAGTAACAAAATGTGGATGGAGAAGGATTTATTTGAAACAACGCAGTTTTATTTATACTGATTCTTTCCACCTATAATTTTATTTATACCAGTTCAAAAGACATGCAGCATGTGAAATCTGACAACTTAATCTTGCAAGGAACCCCTAAGAACCTACCTCAGGGTATTCCAGTGGTAACCTACCACAGGCAGTTTGGCCCTACAAGCACAGCAAGGACAGCAGAATTGGAAAGGAAGATTATAAAGAGAGGAATACAGAGTTATACCACTTTTTTTAGTGCAGCTCGGCTGGGAGGACCATCCTGCAGGATGGCACTGCACCGTTCCTTCAGTTCCACCGCTTGGAGTGTAGTAGCCTGAATTACATTTGTATTTCAGTTTCTCCTGTAGCTTGAAGTACACTTCCGTACCATAAAAAAGGCCATTTTCCAAAAGAGGCTTGTTACACTTTTCTAAATGGAGGGAGAAAACTTGGTTAGAATGAAATTGTTAGCAGAGTATTTTCATTCTCTGAAAATAAAAGTGCATATCCAGAGATGCAAGGGAAGGGGGCTTTTAACTAACTCCCTGATCCTATCTTATTTTCTTGACCCGTTGAAGAATTTTTCTATACAATCACCTAACAAACACTTTTAAGTACTAATAACATGGAACAACCAACCAAGGAAGCAGGCTCAGCCAACCTCCTCAGCCTGAGCTGAGGAGACTCAAATTCACACCTGGGAGAAAACTAGCAGGTTTTATTTTCCCTAGTTGGAGTGCTTATGTAAAAGATATGTGGTAAAAATCCTTTTAATATATATTATTGTAAAAGTGTTTCAGATATAAATACACATAGGTCATATAGATAAAGGATTGATTTCTACTTATTGTCTTAACTTTTGCATTTTATCCCTCATATTTTACAGCTCCTGTTCTGTAGACTTAAGGAAGCTCAGATTAAAATAAAATAAACTTTTCAGCTAGAAGCAATAATGAAATTAAGGAAATTAACTCACTGTAGCACTGTGGCATTGGAGACCATCCTTTTACTGTACAAGTCACTCTTCCATCTTGACTCCCAGTTTCAGTTGTATAACCAGCCACACAAGAATAGGAAAGCTTTTTTCCCTTGCGCATAGGGAAATAGTAACTTTTGAAATTATAGTAGTACTGGGCAATCTTTCCATTTTCTATGTGTGGCAAACTGCAAGGTTCATCTACAAAAAGGATAAAGTATTTTTCACTAGAAATATCACCGTGCATTAATTTGCTTGAAGTTAGTTGTTTTCATTCAGGCTTTCAAACAAGGTGAGTAAAATGCTTAGAAGGTCAGAGAAGTCTTTTACAGCCCTCCGTATATTAGAAATTATTCACCTAAGTTTCCATGCTATTCTAAAGATGTATTTGTTTAAAAATTCATTCTCAACAAGAAGCTTTAAGACTCATTCAAACTAAAAGGTACCAAAATTATGAACTAAGTCCAGGTCCATGGCACTTGATGTAAATTTGCATCGTAGGCATAGAAGAGGATAACAGAAGATTTTAAAAGGATTGATGCCAAACATGACACTAAGGCATTAAAAATGAAAACAAACCAACCCCACACTGCCTCTGTGCACATCTTGTGTGTGCACTTGTCTGAAAAACAAAGAAACTCAACTCTCCCCCTCCCCTCAAATCTCTGCAGGGACATCTGATCTGAAAGATCAAAATTTAAAATTGCATAACTTTCCTCAGGTACTGCTACATTTACCCTACAAATGCTAGAAAAGAAAAAAAAGAAAAAAGTCTTGTACTCCATAGTCACTAGAATTTAACGCAGAATTTTACTAAAGAGAAAGTGTCAAGGTAATTTTTGGTTGTCATTGTTAGAATTCCTCCCCTCACACAGCCATTGTATCCTATCAGAATAAAAAGCTCCGAAACCCATTTATATTTGTGTGTAATTACAAGTCTGAAAGGGCTGGTATCTAAACACCCTTAATGCTTGACCTATCCCTTTATGCAAAACTGTTTTTCAGAGGGCCAAAAGTCTTGTGAAGACAGCGGTAGTTGTGACAAGCATCCCGGCTGCTCAAGCTACAGCAGCAGAAACAAATGAAATGCCTCCAAGTGATACTTCTGCCATTAATGACACTGTTTGCAGTTTAAACGATATGCAAGCTACACAAATCCTGGAATACAAAACACTAGTAAAAGAGGAGATAGAGAACAGCTCCAGATGTGAAACATCACCCCAGGCTAGCTGCTGCACATTCCCACACAATCATACTTTAAGACTTGTTTAAATATGGCGTTTCTTTAAAAATGTTTATTTAAACACTTAAATTGTTTTTAGTGAAGATATGAAAGTCATTGCACTTATCTAAATGAATATCAAATCTAGAATATGCAGTTTAATAACAAAGCAGTGTTTTTACCTTCTGCAAAGATTTTGCCTGAACTCATCATAAGTATGAAGAAAATCCAGCTTTTAAGTCTCATCTTCAGCACTACCGCCATCAATAGTTTTCCACCACTCTGAAAACTCACTGAGTATTACTTTAGTAAATAATTAACTGAATTTTCAAAGGAATTCAAAAAAAAACTTTCATATTTGTAATATTTTGTAATATGCAAGTTACTTCAATGAAAACATTTTAATTTTCCAAACACCCTAACCGAACATGCAGAAGTCTACTTTTGTTTGACAGGACAACAACCTTATGGAACAATTTACAGCAATTTAAACACCATCCCTCCAGAACCTCTTAAACTTAGAACTCTTAAGGGGCATTATGTTATCAGATTATTTACCTCAGCTAAAGTAAGAGGAAATAGAAGATTCCCTTCCACTGCCACCACCTAATGAAACAGCTTCATTATCTATTTATTCTGAAAGCTCTTAGTTAAAAACATAGTCACTGCTGTTGTTGGTCCAGTAGGTTTTGCACTATATAACTAGTCCCCTTTTTTAAGCAAGGGAAATATTTACCATACATCATCACTTTGAAGACTCGGGTAATTCTTTAACTAACTGCACAATGACTGATGTTGATTTAGCAACATGCTCTGCCCTTTGGAAGAAAAATTTACAAATTTGGGGGTGGGGAGTTGGAAAATGACACTATTGTTTTACTCTTATGGCTTTCTTAGACTTGCTCTGGGAAAATTCAGTTCCAAGGCACAAAAGAAGAGATGTGATGAACAAATAAATGCTTTTTATATTGCTGACTGGATAGGAGGAAAGCCCTCTTCACTTGTCACCTGTAAAATATACAGGTCGAAAATTCACCTTTTAGATTTTTTAATATAACATCCTTTTGTTCCTTCTTATAATCTTTTCCCTAATGCCACATAGGATCCTCTCTAGCTCCCTAGAAAGTCAACTTAAAACGTCCAAAGCACTAGCCACTTTTGACATCAGTAGTCCGATTTCACCCACCTCCACCCATGCCTCTCCCCATTGGACAACTGCACACTTGTATCGTATTTAACAGAACTCAGCAATATTTAATCAGTGGGGAATACCATACCATCGGTATGATTGTGTAATAACAGTATTAATGCAGTAATGAGACATCCAAGGCTTTATGCTTTTATTGTACAATTGATTATAACAGTAGTACAAAATAAGATTTCAAAAGCTGTACAATATTAGAAAGTTAAAAAAATATTGAGACTCAAAAAATAAAAAAAATCCAGGATAGCTTTCGGCATTTATCACCAAGTCTCTTAACTGTCTGCTATATGTAATATACAAATGCATTTCCATGTACATAATTTACATTTCAGTAGCACGCAATGCCAAGTGTATCCATCACCATCAGAATTGCTTGCAGAGGATCCACAATTTCTTGCATATTATCCTTCCTCAAAACCCAAGCTGGCTTGATTCTGTGAAAATATTAATGGCTTGTCATTACAACAGTACATTGCCATAGTAAAAACAGCGGGCTAATTTTCAAGCTCTTACCTTGAAACTGTTTTCGTTCTAACAGGAGTTACCGGAACAAAGGGTGTTCCAGTAATGCAAGTGCTTGTTTTTTGTTTCACAAGTGTTCTTTCAGCATCCATTCTGTGCTTACGAGCTGTAAGTTTATAGAGGCTTTGAATGCAAGCAACTGCCCTTGGCATGCTTCGAATTTCCTGCGAGAAGGGGAAAAAATGTCAATTAATGAAGGTGAAAAATTGTCAATACTGCTAATTTAGAAGCAACTTAACTAAACAAGAAACGAAACCTTTAGTCAAGGAAAACTGAATGTTCCTAATTCAAGTTGAGCTTCTACTCACAAATACAGCAAAACTATTCTAAAGCCAAACACACCTACTATCTATCAACAGCCCAATGCCATCAAAATGCTTAGCAACTGCTATGCTATTTGGGATGTCCGAAAACTCAAGAAGCTCTGGAAAGTCAGACTTTATAAATTTCTCATTAAGACCAATTTGAGTATGTTATGTAATCAAGTATACATCTCCAATGAACAGGCACAAATTAACAGTTTAAGCACTGAAGGTTAAATTAACACTAAATTAACAAATTAACCACTGAAGGCATTGGCGAGGCATACAAGTGTATCCCCATCTTGGAAATGCATTTAGCATCAACAGAGTTTAGTCACAATCAAGTTCACAGCTGTAACAGATAGTAGAGGAGGGAGAGAGAAGAAGAAGAAGAAAAAAAAAAAAGACAAAACCCAAAATATGGTTGAAACAAACTACTAAAAACATTTAAATCTCACCAAAGCTCTCTTTGAATCCTTTGAAAGAATGGCCAACAAACAACAGGTCTTTGTGAAAATACTTCCTCCTTTCTCTGAAATTTTGTCCCCAGCTTTCCCTCTGTACATTTGTAGTAGGTCCAGTAAGGTATCTACAGAATTTTCAACTTCATAAACTGCTTGAGTTGTTTTTTCATACTGTCATGAGACACAAAAAAGGTTATATCAACAGACCTTAAAAGTTTTATTTCGAATTAGAGAAGAAGAAAAAAAAAAAATCATCCTTTGAGTATTTTTATAATTTGATCTCTAAAGTGATTAAAATACTTGGTACATTATACTGTGGCGCAAGTTACTCGACAGTAAATTTAAGAGCAGTACCATGAAACTGTTAGTAGATGGACGTATCAGATTAGGCTACCACTTCATTCATGAAGGCTTTCAGAAACAAAAAGCTACCCTTTGGGCTTTTCTGTCCTTTTTAAAACTCCACAGAATATGATTTTACATTTAAAACAACAGTCATTCTTTAGCATAGTCAGAATGTTCCAGCTTTTTTCCGCCCCGTGAAATAAAAATAAAAGGCCTCAAGTATAAACATCCATAGGATTGATATAGAATAAAACACTAGATTTAATGTTCAAAAATCATTCTGTGGATAAATAAGAACTTCAATAGTTTGCATCTACAGATTTATACTTTTTTTTCTTGAGTTTTTTTTTTTTGAACTTACCTTTGAAACATTAAGTAGAACTTGAATTGAATATTTGATCACATCCATACATGGAACACTCCGGTTGCAACTTCGTATGAGAACAAAAATAGTGAAGATGGCTCTGCTCTGGGCCATATTTTCACAGCAGACTGGGGACAGAAGAGTAACCACTTCTATAATAATAAAAATAAAGAAAATTGTGAAGCCTAAGCATTTTGTTTTCTAAATAGAGCTTTCTCTCATTTTTTAAATAGACCTGGTAAAGTAAATACCAGTAATTACTGATTCATATCCTTCAAGTATTTCTAAACTGATCACTTCAATATCGCAGATTAAAATTAAACCAGACAAGACAATCCACAGACCACTAACACTGCCCGAAATTTAAGAAATTCTTGGTCTGTTCATATCGTCTTATGTAAAAATTGTTATCTAGAACTAGGCAAGCCAGGGATCATACAGGACTATCTTGCTCTGCATAACTCTTTAAAAGTTGTCTTAAAAATAATCAATAATCGTTTTAATCAATAATCTGGTTTTAGTCTGGAAAAAAAGTCATACGTATTTTATACTCTCCAGCCCATTCACGTTTCACAGTGTGAGAGAAGGGCATTACAAATCCTTTCCCGCTGAGAAGTGCCAACCTCTGTCATCCTATCCATCTATTAGTTACAATAAAATGAAATACTGACCTAGGTGCTTTAATGCTGCAAGAATATAAGAAAGATGTTTGTATTTTAGAAGGTACTCAATGGCAATTGCAGTCCTGTTGCATAATTTGTTTTCTTCTCTGCTCTTTTCATTAGCCTTTACTAAACTTAGTCTTAAGGCTTTAGTTTTTGCTGTGTCATTGCTCTTTCTCCAAGAATATCCTCTCCACAATGCCTACAGAGAAGGAATTTCAAAGAAGGAAAAAAATGAACGCAAGTGACAATATAGTAGAATTTCCAGAGTTAGCAATTGTTTTTACATAATTTCGATTAGTTTTTAACTAGTCGATAATCAAATTTAGCACCTTACCTTCCAAATAGCGAATTTTCAGCGGAAAAAAAGAAAACAAGTACACCAGAGTGCGTGTGTGTGTATATATACATATATACACACACACATATATATATATGTGACCCCATATGCCCTCAAACAGTATGTTCTTACTATTACTTCATGGTCTGTTGGCACTTAGCTTTGATGTCTAAAAATAAGCCTGACAGTTTGCAACACAACTGATACATTCACAGACAAAAATAAATGTTTTTCCTCTTCCCCAAAACCCACAAGAAAATGAAGAAAACTGCATATATTTTCTTACAAGAGTATTTACCTGCACCTTGGCTATCCCAGCTGCCAGTTTTCTGCTACGCCTGTAGGCGAGGAACCTTCGCACGTTCCGCTGAATTACTGTTGCCGCGTCGCTTCGGCGACGTAGCCAGACTCGAACCATTCGTTGTAACCGAATGATTCTCTGATAGTCTCTGTGAAATCTTTTTTGTTGTGCTTTTGCTCGGAACCATCTCTGTTTAAAATTAATGGAGTAAGATATTTACTTAAGCCTTTTCATTATTTCTCATTTCCCATCCTAAACAAGCAATGATAAAAGCTGAAAACAAATTTCAACATTAATTTTGACAGATAAGTTGGTCAATGTCACCAGTTCTGAAACACCACCATGATTCAGCTCTGACCTGGGTAGCTGAAAGACAAGACTATGACATGGGTTGGGGAAATATTTGGCCACCTCCCCACTTCTCTTATTTCCTGCTCCCTCTCTTCCCCTCTATACAGAAAGAAAAACAGGGTACAGCCTGACAAATCCAGGCAAAGTCCTCCTTCCACCCATACTCTGCTGCTTTAAGGCAAAGATACAACTAACAGGGACAGGTAACTGAAATTTATTTTGAAGGAGGAGGGCAAAGTTCAACATGTGGTACTTCCTAGATTAAATATAACATGTTTATATTTAACATGTCAGCTTAAGTAGATTCCAGGACCACTGACAGTTTAGAAACCATCCAAATACCTCCCTGCATCCCAGGAGCTGGCTTAGGTAAGCAGATGTTCTTCACTGCTTGTCTTGGACATCTTGAATAGTGTCATGTCCAATCTTTGCTACTTCTGTTAG